AACAAAATTCCAAAATACAAAACTCCTTTCCTAGTCAATCTTGAACTAAACGTTATAAATAAGGATTTAAGGCTTAAAAATAATAGATTAAAGATTCTATCTATCTTCTTCCATCCACATCTATAAGAGAGATTAGAGAATTATCTTTCTCCCCTCTTCATCCTAGATTCTATCCTCCAATATCTAGCTCCCGCTCTTTGTATTCAAGTAATTTTTTAAAATTTTAAAAAAAGAATAATTGATAAGGTTCAAAGACTTACTTGGTTGCAAGCTATTAATGTTTTCTTTCTTTCTTCTTGTACTCCTTCACCTCAACACAATCTATGTAAGTAAAACAAATTTAAATTCAATGAAGTTTGTTGAAAAGATACTCACCTTAGATTATGATTTGAATTTGTTGGTCTTCTCTTTTCTTCTTTTTTTCTTTTTTTCTTATTTTTTCCAAATTCCTTCTAGCTAACTTTTCTACCTATCTCTTTTTTTCTTTGTTGATGAAGAATTTTCTTAAGGTTCTTGTTGAATTCCTTCTACACTACTTTTTGTGAATAGAAGGGATACGAGAGGTAGAAGGAGTGATTAAATCTCCCTACCACTAGAAAAAGGTCCTTAACCAGAAAAATTACGAGGATGAGTGATGAAACCTTGAAGACAAGCTCCACCTTTTATGCTTGCAAGTGACAACCACCTAAAGAGAACAACCAAACAATTCTAATACTAACATTTAACTACTCAAATTCTACTTAGGATTAGAAATAATACTGTTGCAAAGAAATAAATAAATGAATAAATGAAAAATATATTAACTTACTTCAATGCATAAAACTATCATGCATGTAAAAATAAATAATAAATAATAAATAATAATAATAGTAAATAAAAGTAAAATTAAGAATTAAAAAAAGGAAGAAAACATAAAAAGATAAATAAAAGTCAAAATAAAATTCAATAATATATAAAAGAAGTAAATATAAAAATTAAAATTAAAATTAAAAGCAAATTAAAAGTAAAAAATTAAGAAAAAATTAAGAATCAAAAAAAATAATATTAATTAAAAATAAATGTGAAATTAAAAGTTAAAAGTAAAATTAAATATTGACAGATTTTTTTTATTATTAAAATAATAAATTTATTTTAATATTATTATTTTTACTTTTAATTGATTTTAATTTTTTAATTTTTAGTTTTATTTATTTTAATTTTTATTTTTATTATTTTTTATTTTTTATTTTTAATTTAAGTATAACATAAAATCAATAATGTTAATGAGTGAAAAGAAAGAAATCACTAACTTCAATTATATTCCACTTAAGGCAGCAACTTCTTTCCACTCCAAAAATCGCCACAATTTTAATTTTGATTCAATAGCATCAAATTTTATACCACTAAAATATCAACTCCAAGGTTCTCGTATTTAGAATTTTCCAATATTAAATTGTCACCAGGCACTAAGAGATGCCTTTCTAAACATGAAGTACATGAAACTGCCAAGGCAGTGAACTCCTTTCAAGTCTAAAACTCACTATAAATTCGTATCAATTCCAATTTGAACATACAATAGCTTTATAAAAAGCTAAAATCAAGATACACAACCTTAAAAAGTTTGAAGTTGAAACACACAATAAGTAAAAACAGATTGACGAAAATCCAAGAGTAAATCAACAATCAACTCAACAATAAAAAAAATTATTATCTTATAAAGTAAGAAATAGTAATGATTTCTTTCCACTAATAAGGAAGAGATGTAGAGCACTTACCAATGATGAAGAGCTACTTGAATTGCTCACTCAACAAAATCAAGCACAATCAATTACAACAAGCAACTTCACATCCAACATACATCCATTAGAAGTACCATCTTCCGGCAGACGCACCAAATTGTGAGTGTAAATTTTCACTCTTCAATCCAAGTTACAAGATGGCCTCAATTAAGAATTTCTTGTAATTGGTGGTGTGAAGTGAGGTAAACAAACAACAAGAACAAAAGAAGAATAACCACAAAGCAATTGAAATAAATGACATGAATCAATTACAACATCCAAAATTAAGTCACAATCTATTCATTGTATTTTTATTCAATAAAAAGTATAAATAAAAATTAAAAATTATATTTCTAAATATTTAATTTTATTATCTTTTCAATCACATAAGAATTATGTAAATCCGAATTACTATGAATAAGTTATGAATTTTTAAAGATATGAAGTAAATAATTAAAAAGTGAAGTAAAAATATTTTACTTCAAAGATAACTTGCTTATAGATCTAGGGTTCGAGCCTCACCAAGGCTCACATATAGTGTATAAGGGTATCTACGAGGGACCACAAAGCCTTAGTCTTATCTACCACCTTTAAGGTGCTACAATCTATATGGAACTTGTGCACTCCCCTTCCTACAAGGACTATAATAGCTGCTGGTCCTCCTATTTTCTACTAGAAGGACCAACATTTTTGCAATTTTGACCTCACCATGGTATTCAAAAAAATCCAATTAGCATAAAAACCTATTGTGGCCTTCAATTCTTGCTCCATTTCTTCATAAAGGCTTCCAAAGTAGTAAAACTCATTTTTATCGAGATCATGAAAATTGCTCTAAAATTTCCTTAAAAATTCTAAATAAATTTTAAATGAATTCTAAAAAAATCTATAATATTTCTATAATACTAATATGAATTTAAGGCTACATTCTCCTACCTTAAATTTTTTTGATAATAATATAAGTCAATTTAAATCCATTATAAATCCTATTTTTTTATATCAATAACTAAAATGACATGAGATTCTTTTTCATTCTTCTTCTAACTACTAACATTTATGTTTTTTTTATAAATAGTTGTAGAATAGATATTAGTTTGTTTTTGTAAGATATTGATAAAATAGATTAATAGTCTATAGAATAGTCAATTAAGGAGGACGGATGTTGATTCAATTATTAAAAGCGGTTATTATAGGATTACGATTAGAATCTAGAAATCAGTAGCAATTATATAGGGGTTGTAGAAGTTTGTTGGGATGCCAGACTAGGATAGTCATGAGCCAGGGTTAAGCTTGGTGCTACCTCTTTGTTTTTTTTTTTGTTTTCTTTGTTATTAAAGAGTAATAGATAGTTTTTGAATATTGAGAAGTGAGTCTATGGAATAAATCAGAGATTGATTTATGAGTTATTGACTATATAATTGGAGTACTGAGTGATTGAATTATATGAGAAAGTTATTGGAAGATTGATTATCAATGGAAGATTATGATAGTTGTTTATTGAGAATTCTATGTGTGTGTTTCGACAGAGAAAGTCTGTGATTACAAGAATTCTGTGAATTCAAATTGGTTGGAGTGAAGTCTGATATTCTTGGTGTTGGATGGAATTCATGAGTTTTGAGCAGTCTTTTAAGAATGTAGGGTTGCACACTGTTGTTATCAGTTGATGAAGGAGTACTATTCTTGGAAAGAAGCATTGTAGTATTTCTTAGTGTTTTAGTGGTTCGGAATACAGTTAACTGTGTGATCCTAACAAGTGAAACTCATGCGCTTAGTCTTTCCCTGTGTTCGAATTTCCCTATATGGATTTATTCTGAAAGGAATTTGTAGTATAAGTAAAACGACAATCACATTTTGGCACCGCTGTCGGAGATTGACAATAGCATTGAGTGTTAGGAATTAACTATCGAATGAGTAGATGGAAAATAGGAAGCAAATTAAGTAATATATAATGAAAGATTATGGTTATTAAAAATAAAAATATTGCAGTAAAGAAAATACGCGAGCCGAAAGAAAGACAAGAGAGAGCGCAAGTAAGAGAATCATTACAAAACAAGCAAGAACGCAAGTTAAAAAAGAAGCATTGACAAAGTTGGATTAAGCCATGGTTGCATGCCTGTGGGCATATCCGAGCATACCCAGAAGCTGATCGATCTCTAATATTTGAGATATATATACTGTTAAAAAAATTGCCAAGAGCACTCCCAAGAAATTTTGTCAATAATCCAGCATATCTCTTGAATTCGTTAACTGCAAGTGGAAGAAATACAAAAGAATTGGATACTCCATTGGATACCTTTTCAATAGCGGAAACCATCGATTTTGTAAAAATAGGTTCCGTAGAATGGCATAAATTACTTCCCAATAAGGGCCAATTTCAGTGTATTTCAAAATCCATCGTTTTCACCTCCAATTCAACAAATAAATTTATTTATGGATAATAATAGTAAATTGAGGAGGTTAGAAAATCTAAAAAAGATAATTGGAGAAGGCAATGGTAATTTTATTAAGAGATTAAGTGGCACATTGTCATCTTCAATAGCGACGGGTGGTCTACTAGTTCCAATAGCAGTACAAATAGATGACGTGAGCGATCGCACAACGAGCATGGCTCCATTATCTACTTTTAGGGGCTTTCCAGATGTGGATCTCGATCAACATTTGTCTCAGTTTCTGACAGCATGTGTAGCCAATAATGGAAGAACCAAAGATATTTGGTTACGATGGTTGCCAGCAATCTTAAAAGACATGGCATTTAAATGGTACAACCGCCAACTAGTGGATCAATTTCTAAATTGGGAAGCATTGAAGAATACATTCATAATCCATTTTTGGCCAATAGGTTTTGAAGATCGTCTTCGAGAGAGGTTAATGAACAGCAAAATGATCCTAGGGGAGGCGGTGGAATCGTATTATGGTCAGGTGGCTGATATACTCAATAAGTGGCTGAATCACCAAATGTCAGAGGTATTTATCTTATCTATATTAATCAATGGTTTGCAACCACCAGAATTAAAAATGTTTGAAAAGAGTTAAAAATGTTTGAAAAGAATTGTTCTGGTGTGAGCCCAACATTCGAGTTAGTGAGGGAGTTGTTAATGAGGAAATTTGCAGTGTTCACGATTTCTGCCCAAAGGTTTGTAGGTAGCTTTGCTTGTTGTGACACGATTTTGGCTGTGCCGAGTATTGCGCGATTCTTTTGTTCACAGATTCCATTCTATTCGGAGGCGTGCATAGGTGTGAGTTGTCTTGCAATACCATTCTTTGAGCGAAAATCGTTGAACTGCTCAGAGATGTATTCCCCTCCCCTATTCATTCTCAGCATTTTTACTTTTTCTCCTACTTGTTATTCGAGAATTGCTTTGAATTCCTTGAATTTGGAGGAAGCGTCCGATTTATTCTTGAGGAAGTAAATCCAAGATTTTCATGAGAAGTCATCTGTTAGGGTCATGAAGTAACGAGCCTTTCCGATTGACCCTAGGGTGATCAGACCGCAAAGGCCAAATTGGATGGTTTCGAGTATATGCTTCGCTCTGGAGAGACTCTTCTTGGGAAAGGATCTTTGTGCTTGTCTTTCGTTTTGACAACTTTTGTAGACGGCAGCTATCAATGGTAGTCTCGGTAGTCCTTCTGCAGAGTTATTATGTGACATGCGGTGTAGGCTCTTATAGCTCAGATGTCCCATTTGAAGATGCTAGAGGCGGGCTTTCTTGATTTGTTCGGTGACAAGTGCTTCAATCTCTTGCCCAATGTTCGTGTAGGTGTTATATTGGAACCTGCATTTCTAGAACATTCTTTGAAGTTGCAATTCTAATGCGTCTTCATCTGTGTGTTTGGTCTTATTCTTGGTTCTTGTTTCCCACAATTCGAGGCGGCCGGCGAGGTCTTCAAAGGTTAGCATTTAGTGGGAGCCCGAGATGTTTGTTACGATACTGTCAAAGCTTGGTGGTAGCACGTTAAGCACTTCTTCCACTACCATTGTGTCGCATGGCAATTCTCCAATATCATTAAGTGAATTGATAAGTATCTGAACTTCAGTTAGAAATTCTATTACGCTTGATCCTTCTTCCATTCGCAACTTGGTGAAATTAGCTCGGATAGCTAGTTTTCGTGCGTTGTTTTTGATATCAAATTTCTTTTGCATGTATCCCCAGCCTTCTCTTGGGCAAGATATGTTGACAATAAACGGCACAACGTTTTCTTGCACAGACAGTCGGATTATGGAGAGGACATATTTCTTGAGTTTGCCAACCAAACTTGGGTCTCTTGGATCTGGTGGCTCTGCAGTATTTGAACTACTCGAAGATTCGTCAGCGGAGTTCACGAATTCCCACAAGTCTTCCCATTCTAGGATTGTCTGAACTTTGAATTTCCACTTAACATAGTTAGAAGAACCTACAAGCTTGTATTGTTCTGAAAGATGGGTGTCTATTGACGCCATTGCTATTAATCAAGAAAAAATCCTTAAGATATTCTATCTCGACTATGTACCTCGACTGTGCATACAATTCAATTTCTCAGTCTCGAATGGTGACTACTATCTCTGAGATTAACACCTCTCCAACAACTATCAACAATGGAGGAAAAAAGAAACGAGAGAAGTCACTCTCAGGTATGTTCTATCGCTCTGATACCATAAAAAAAAAAAAAAAAAAAAAAAAAAAAACATGGTCATTGCGGTGACTCTATTTCAAGTGAATAAAGAAAAACAATCGCGAGGTATCATACCTCGAGGAGCTACGTCGTACGTGGCGGTGGGTCCTATTATTCTGGCTGTGCTGAAGTGCTACTTGCTGGATGATCTCAGGTGTTCCTAGTTATCAAAAGGTGCGGTCCCAAGGTTGCCTACCTCTTAGCTAGGATTGTTCCATGGTAAAATCAACAATGGAATCGTGCAGAAGAGGATGAGAATGAATAGAGAAAGGACATGGTGTATCCTACCTTTCAACTTTCTGGCAGGAGCCCTAAGCTAGATCATGTGTGACATGGCCACCAAAGTTGTGTGAAGATCTATCGCTTTACACTTTTGTTTACACATGATAGTTCAATCGCACAGACCACTGCTAGACTTCGATAGGATGACTACCACTTAATATCAAACTAAACCTAGGCTAATACTATGATATTCAATTATCATTAAATAGACTTATAATCTTATATAAAAATACGAATTCTAAATCATATACTAAATTGGAGAATGCAAGAACATGGGCAAGGAGCCATGAGCTATGAGCAAGAAACCATGAGTGGTGTGCAATTGAATTATTATATTTAGTACCTATTTTTCATTCATTGATTCCATTGAAAACATCCAAAAAAAAGTATAATTATTTATAACCTCAGCATATAGAACAAATTACAAGATATAGTACACAGTCACCTAATTTGTATAAGTCAATATCTATATGTAACAATACTACAATTTTTGTCTTCTATGATGTACTTACTATGATGTCCAAGTTCTTGAAGGGGATCGATATGATATTTTAATATTAGTCATTTATTGTAATGTCCAAGTTTTAATTGGGCATCAGACATTGCTAAAAATTGAGAAAACCTTCAAATACATTAGGTGTAGGTGTGGACATGGTGTAGGTGTGGACATGGCCATTGGCAAGGAAGACCATTTTCAATTTGGTTGTTGTAGAATAGAACAAAGGTAATATGAAAATAGGAAGTCATTTAGTTGCCAAAGAGTATACCAAGTAGAATTTGAAAGTTTAGAATTGAGAAAAGAATGCAGCAATGAAAGTTATTAATAATGGCAAAAGATGACAAGAATAATGGCTCTGTGGAAGCATAAAAAGGTATTAGAGCAATTGTTTGGATTTTTTATTGGGTTGCTAAATTTGGCATTAAATTCAACCATGGATTATAATCTTCTTAAGAATGAGAAGTTCTTTATATATTTAGGGCGCCAAAGAGAAACAAAACATCTATTCTTACTTGGTAGCCAAGTCAAACAAGATCATAGCTTAAGTTAATTCCTAAAAATCCTTGGATATTTTTCATTAAAAACACTCCAAAACTGCCCATTCTAGTCTAGTGTGTGTAAATCAAACCAAAACATCTTTATTTTGTATTCCAACCATGGGATCTTGATATAAACTTCATAAAGAACAAGCTCTCCAATTTTCATGAAAGTTGACTGAATGGATTGGAAGATAATAGTGTTTGAAGTGAAGAAAAAAGTTTTTTCCTTCTCTGCATTAAGGGGATCAACAGACTTTGAAATTGCTTCATGTCAAGTTTTTGCATTATACACGGTCTAAATTTTATACCATTATGGTGATCATGATGTTAGTCCCATGCACACCAATTTTTAGAGGTAACGGAAGGGTCTAGCATTTTCAAAAAAATCATGCAAGGAACAAAGGTCCAAACTTTGCCAAAATACATTTTGTTTTATTGTGAACAAATACTTTATAAAATACAAATCCAAACGGTCAAAACAAAGCTTTATACTACGTGTTTAGTTTTTAAAAATAAAAATAGAAAAGACCAAAATCTTTAATTTTTTATGAAGTTTTTTTGGTACCCTACCCGGCATTGCCCGGCTTCAAAAAAAAAATCACTTTTGATCTACATATTTGATCATAACTTTTGATTTATAAGTCCGATTCCCATAAAAATGGTACTCCCACAAAGCATGTCCTTTTTCCCATCTTGCAAAAAAAATACACCTCCTTAGGACTTAAATTGAGACTGTGGGTACCTGCCCAATAGGTCAAGAAGCCCACCTTGGGACTTTGGATTTTTAGGGGTTGAAGAATTATATTTGGTGATTTGGCAAATTCATCAAATGCCTAAAGTAAGTATCATACATAAGATTTTGGCAAACTCACCAAATGCCTAAGGTGATGAACATACATCAGATTTTTGCAAAAAAAACTATTTAAACGATTTATCATCAATATCTTGTGTGGTATGACTTGGACCAAGCTTAGGGTATGATGGAACGGAAAGAGAATTGAAGGGGATTTGAGAATCACAAATTCTATAAGAAATTCTATACTATCACCTCAAAGAGATTAGAAAAAGTGACAGATCAAGAAAAAAATACAAAATAATCGCCACTATTATTTGACTACAATAAAAAAAGATTTCATCCTTGAGGACCAAAGATCCAACACCAACTCAAGAAGGGGTAGAAATAAGATAAATTTAAAATTAAGGCATTTGACATGGTTCAATATGATTTAAAACACTCCATTTCTTATCATTCAAAAAGATAATACTATTTTCATTTATTGCTAGCAGTTTTGATTTGCTTCAAAGATCATTCTTTAGCAATCATGGCTTAGGGCAACACTTGGTCTATTAAGGATTACAATTTTGGAATACACAAAACTCTTAGATAATAGTAGTGCTACTTCAATTGAAGCTGGTTTATTAGTTTGGATGATTAACCATGATTTACGGTCCTTGTACATCTTTCAATGAATTAGATATGAATTGAATGGACCAAATATTTCATTTTGATCCTTTGAGTCCCACAACCAAGGTTACCAAATATGACATTATTGATGAATTTATTTGAAAGTAAAATGATGCATTTATAACCTGCTTTAGTGATGTGTTCTTTGCCAAATAGGTCATTCATTAGCATTTTGTTTGAAAAGCATATTATCAATTCCATTAAATTATGTGCTTTTTGCAAAATGGATCATTGAAGAAGATTTCATTTCATGATTGAATGAATCCATTGGTACTTGACAATTTTAGTTGTTATTTGCGGGATGGATCATTGATATAAACTTGATTTGAGAGCCAAATAAATCATTTAATTTTACTTCATACTTTGCATTTTATAGCAAATGGGTCATGATTTAAGAAGCTTTATTGTAAGTGGACCAAACATGTTATTTTTGTTCAAATAAGTCTTATGTTTTATGCCAAATGGGTCATTTATAAGAATATGATTTGAAGTTTGAATGGATGAAGTGAAGTTCTTTTTAGACTTAAGCTTTGTAGCTAATGAGTCATTCATAAAGATTTGATTTCATTGTGAAATGAGTCATTTCAGATTCTACGAAGTCCAGTATTTCTTACCAAATGTAGAATTGAATTAGAGGTTTTGTGTAGAACATGTCATAGACATGAATTTGAAATTATTACTTTTAACTTTAAAGCAACTTATTCAGATTGAATTATGATGGGGTGTTCGTGCCAAACCCCTATGTGAGGGAAAGAACTCGCCAGGTTCTAAGTGTGTTTTCTAGGAGTCTTACAACAGTTTAAACTTCTTGTATTATATATTTTTTATTCACTTACTTATATATATATATATATATATAATTATTATTTTCTTTATTTATTTGTTATTAGTTTCTTTATTTATTTATTCTTTTGGAATTTGTTAAATTAAAAGAAGATAAGGAAAAAAACAAATAACATAAGACACAAAGTTAAAATAAAAAGGAATTGTTAGAAATAACAATTTAGCCTTCCAAGCATGGACTCTTTGATAGATGAAAATAACCAATTAAACAAATAAAACTTACAAGTTAATAGGAAATAATAATAATAGTAATGGAAGAAATTAAAGGTGCAAGGTCAAAGAAGAAATACCTCGACGGGAGGAGAGATTTTGTGAGCCTAATAAAGAAGAAGTAGTCAAAAAACTAGTAAGTACAATTGTAAACCAAATCAATTGTAACATAACAACGCAGTAAAAACACAGAAACAATAAAACAACATAGTAAAAACGTAAGAACAGTAAAACAGCACAATAAAAATGTAGAAACAGTATGATGTTTCAGAGTAAAAACGCAGACACAATAAAACAGTGCAATATAAACGCAAATCGTAATGGAAGCAAGTAGACAACAAGGGGTTTGAAGGCAATACTATCCACGAGAATAATCACTACTTCGAGCACTCTTCTTTTACTAAAGTACTAATCTATTCAAGCTAACTTGCCACGTGTTGAGGCTCGTGGAAGTAGAAGGGAGAGAGAAAGAAAAACATGGGAGAAATAGAGATAGAGAGGGAGATGGAAGGGGGAGAACTTGCTATGTGTTGAAAAACACGTGCAAGTAGAAGGAGAGGAGAAGAAGAGAGAGAGGGAGAGAAGTTTGAGAGGTCTAAGGTGGAGGAGCAAGAGGAGAAGTGTGTGAGAGCCTCCCACGTGGCTCCTTAAATAGTCCACGTGGGAGTCTCCTCCCCCTTCCCTATCTACAAAGTTGTAGACTTTCTTATCACAGAACGTGCAGCTAGTCGACTCAACTTAACATACAGCACAATCACGTAAGCACACAGTAGATAACAATCGTTCAATAAGCAGTGAGCACACAACAACGAGACAATTACTCGAAGATAATCCTTCCTTCGAGCTCTGACACCATGATGGAGTATGAAAAACAATTTGTCTTACTATACAGGTGAACAGTGGGTAGCTTGATGATACTATTTATAGGAAAAGTTCATGGCGCAGTCAAGAGACTGGGTAGTGGTGGACGTAACCACCAGACTAATTTTAATGAGTGTACTTAACTAATTGACTAACAAGTAACTAGTGGTATCATCAATACCATGACTACATACAGTATATACAAAAGGAGAGTAGGAGACTGAACTGAGTAGATGCCATCCAACAACTAATCGCACAACAAAGCAGACTGCAATAAGAAACTAAAATCTAAAAAGCATAGTACTAAACAACAAACCGACCGCCGTCTTTGATAATCGCTGTCAACACAGATAATTCTTTGATAAGCACTGCATGATAATTATCTTCCATATCTCTATCAAGACCAAAAGAAAAACTCCACACCTTCACAGCAAAAAACTTGCTGAAACCTGACAACAACCTAACTCAACCTCACAGCAAACAAAACCGCACCAAAAAAAAAAAAAATCTACACTAAGAAACAACTCTCAAATAAGAGAACAATGAACAAAACACATCGCGACACGAGCATAAGACCACAACAGAGAACCAGGTGCGTCGGGTTTAGGTAGGTCAGAAAATAATCCAACATTGCGGATAATTTATAGGAATTTTACAATCTACAGCCAGTCATCTCGATTTCCCAACCTGCTGGTTATGTATTAGATAACCGACGAGCCGCGTTAACCGGTTATCGTACATAACCGATTGTTCACTTTTCAATCTTAACCTTTGATCATCATGATCTAAGGGTGTAGGATGCAAGTTCGCAGGAGAGAAGGTTATGGATTATAAACTTGCATGGAGACAGTCATGGGTAGCCAATGGGAGGCGGCCACGTTGGTGTTGAAAAAGTCAACAAACGGTTATGTATTATAACCTTCTCTAAGCAAATGGTTTCCGGTGGAGCGATTTGCCGATACCGCAGCTCATCCCTCTACCAATAACCACTCGCTTCTTGAAAGGTTATATAATCCATATATTTCTACTTATTGTAAATGTTTTTGACAATTCCAAATTATAAAGCTCTCTCCTGATTATAGGAAGTTGAAATGGAGAGTTGCAAATGTTGGAGGGGTTTCCCCATTCAATGAAAGGTCTCTATTATGCAATGAGGGGTCCTCCATTCAATAGGGACTAATACTACAGTAAACTATGCCAGTGCCAAATGTGGCATTTATATTTCTACATGTCCCATGATCTTGATGAACTTTGTGCTGTTCAAGATGAGTTCTCAATTTTACAGTTGAATTTATGTTTCAGTAAGTTCATCTGGGTGATCTGGGGTAACCAATTCTATGTACAAAGTTCAATGTACTACATGTAGGATGCAATATAGAGGAATAATTTAAAATTAAATTATAAAGAAAAGTTGTAGAGAAATATGTTGAGATAGGTTTAAAATGTGAACCTTTGAATTGAGTCATTTGTATGTTGCTTAAGTCCATGACCATATTCTTACAAGGCCAATTAGGAATTAAAATTAGTTGTACTTTTCAATATAGAGGATGCGTTACATTAGAACCGAGACATAATAGTGTGTATATAGCACATTGAGCTTCGTATCTAGAACTGGTAACACTAAATATGTTTTGTAGTGTACTGAACAGTAACTATGAATGGTCTGTATTTTCATTGGTTTAGACCTAAACCTAAACAATCAAGTGAGGGAGGGAATCTTAGGGGAAAAGTGTTGGACTAGGGTGTTATCTTGCTCTAACTTTATTCCTGCAAGGAACTAAATTTTCATAGCGCCAAATTGCAATTAACTTTAATGGCCAATCAGTTGCAGGAGGTTGAGGGGACTTGTTCACGGCCATGATTGCACTCGGCCCCACAACTGCCTCTAATTTCGCAAACTAATTTGAGCTTTTCCACTTGCAAAATTACTCCATTGAAAATTCCTTTGCCAAACATTCTTCCTACCTTGAACTTCAAAATGCAAAACATGTCCAGCTACGACTCAGAGTCGGCAATGGAATCCTCCACGCTCCACCAGACAACGAACGCCTCAACAAAATCTGAGAGTGCCCTCTTTCCCACCATCCTAAAGGATATATCTGCAGCTATTCCACTATTTTTGTCCGCTGTAAACCTTCTCACACAACCCGCCACCGTCTTCGCACAAATGCATATGATGTTCAAACCAACTTCCTCCGTCTCAAGATCGACCGTAAAACCCTCCTCCACACCGTTTACCAAACTGCCACCTTTCCTTTGTTCTCGCCTCTCGTACAACAACACCTTTGAGCACAAATCCTTTTCTACTGCTCCACAATGTCTCCTACCGTGCCGCTTCAGCCACTTCTCACACGTGGCTTCATCCTCAACCAAATTCTTAGTCCAGAGTTCAATTTGGTGGCAGTTAAACAATATCCATTTTAGTGCCAAGAGACAAATATTCAAAACTTCCATCTTGTCCTACTAATCGGTACAGATTTGTTTCCCCAAGCTTCACTAGACGTGCGCCATTGCGCAACATTTCCTCTAGCTCTTCTGAACCGAGGGTGCGTATGCTCTCCATATCAATTGTATCGGAAACATCGTAAATTGATACAAAGCATTCGCTGTTGCTAACCTCTTTCCTCTTTTTTCACACACGCGGCAAGAATATGGGCAAGTATTGTAGTTTTGAAACGCATGATAAGAGTGCTTGTCCAAGCCTGATGCTCCCCATGTACTGTTGTCAGGCTTAAATAGTCGCAAAGCTGGTGAACCCACAATCGTAAAAGCTGCCCAATGCTTCAGAGGTTGACGCTCGCGAATCATGTTTAGAATGACATCTTTCATGCACTCATCCACACTCCTACCTCGCGGCTCTGCAATGAGCATTTCTTTGAATAGATCTGCACAATTGCACAATGGTTGAGTGATTATCTTATTTTGCAATGTCATGTGACACATGATGCGTAAACAAGCAACAGTTGGTGTTTGTGATGTTTATGTGTATAGGTTAAGATCTAATCAACTTTCTGACTCTTTAGTATAAAAAATTAGGTTCTTACAGGTGAAATTCAAGATATGCTTACCAATTATAAATCTACCAGTGAACACATCATCAACTTTCCAAAGAGTGAGGATCGTAGAAACTGCTCCCGCTAGCAAGAGAGCCCTTCCCAGTCCCAACAATCCTTCACCTGTAATGGCTTCGCCTAATCCCGACTGACATGCACTCAACACAACCAGCCCAGCAGAGATCCCGCCTTTCAGAGCCCCAATCTCCTCAGCTGTGAGAACCTGGGATGCTTCTCCAGCCCTCTGTTGTTTGGACTTCTTGTCACTGAATTCAAAAAGCCTCAAACTTCGCTTACCTTCTTGATGACCATCATGTTGAAGAACATCTTGCTCTTGCTCCTCTGCAATACCCTTACCTTTCCAAAGTTCCGCAGTAGTCACGGGTGTGGAACTGACTTCGAGCGTTGCTGTTGAGGCCAATGCAACATCATTCAGCTGTTTGCTAAGTGTGAGCATGTCCATTCCTGGTGGCAGCGTTGAGGTCGATGTTGACGCAACTTCGTCAGGTCTGCAGAGTCGTTTGTTAAGCACAATAACGTCCAGTTCTGGCTGCAATGGTGATGTTGATGTAACTTCATTCGGTCCAGGACATGCTTGGAGTACGAGACAACCATGAGGATAGTCATCATTCACCACACCATGTGTAGCTAACAAAACCACTTTGCTGGTTGATAAGCCTTCAATAACAGCCTGCTTAGTCATGTCTTTCCCTATGCAAGGTGTCACCTTGAAAAATGCCGCCACCCTCTTGGCTTCTTCTTCAGCACCACGTAATTGATTCCATCCAAGCCCCATTGGCTCCTGGTTGCCAGCTATGAAAGCTACATTACTTGGTAGATGGCCATCAAACTTAAGAGGTTGCTCTGAAGATCCAGGTTCCAATGAAGAATCTTGGAGCAAATTTTGACCCAAAACTTGCAAATCCCTCTCGAAATTGTATTGGCTATACAAACAACGATGTAAAGTCACAATTGAGGGGACAACAGCCACGTTGTACTCTGCAATTAAATGTTCTTTGTGTCTGTCATCATATAATGCAGCAAAGGGGATTTTTGCCAAACATCCATGGCCAGGTACGTAGATGAGTGAATCACAACCTTTCAAATCCTCCTCAATATATTGTATAAGGAGAGCATGTAAGATGCTTAAGGCTTCAATACTTCGGCCTTGTTCATCAATAGCATCTACTATCAATTCTTGAAGACTCTGGTTGCTTGACAAATTGGTCTCCTCGAACCACGTTGGAAGATGACAAATTTTACTCCGATGCAAAAAATCCTTGCCGTCAGGTGACATTGCCACTACATACATATTCATAATTTCTTTGTCTAAATTGTATGAATATTCTATAATGGATGTCTTGAGCCTCAAGGCTTTGGTGGTCTGAAAAAACAAAGTTGTTAGCAACTGATCACACTCATCAAGATCAGAAGGACTGGGAATTGCAATTTCCTTGGGCTGGTTGAAAAATTGGTGCATAAGGAAGCGCTGTTGGCTCCTCTCCGCCCAAACAAGACCAATGATGGGATTTTGGAGGCGCCGTATATAGAGGCTTTCAATGAAAACGAGTTTTTCGTTCAGATAGTCACGAGAATATGAAAGCCAAGATATAGGTTCATGGTCAAGGTGACATAAACGCCGTTGTTCTTTCATAAGAAGAAAAATCGATGCTCGAGCCTTATCTGCAGCTTCCACCCATTGTCCTTCATGACACAACATGCGTGCTTCCGAAAACTCCACCTCTGCAAGTTCCAAGGCATTGTTGCATCTTGAGATCTTACTTTTGGCTAAGCCCATCAATCTCTTCGATTCTGTAACATTGCCATCCTTGTGGCAATCTACAGCATGGGAGCATAGACAATGCACAAATGCAAGACGCACAGATTCTCGAACATCTGGGTATTCAACAGAATTAACTGCCGCAATAACCTTCTCCACCTCTTCCAGTGCGTGTTTCCGATTTCCCCAACTTGAATAAAATGAGCATCTTGCGATGCGTACTGCTAACTCTTCCACATTCTTGTCCCTGGGCGAAGATAAGTTTTGAATCAATTCCAACATATTGTCAGTTTCTCTCATAGCCTTTCCCCACCTGCCACGATTTGCATAGTCTTCAATGTTTCGTTGCTTTTTCCATAACTTGAACAAGGTCGAACTTCGAATGCCGATATTATCATCGGTAATAAAGGGCGCAATATGAAATCTGAAAACAATTTCGGCTACTTCTTCAAGTGCTTCAAGTTTCCGAACACCATCCTTTTCCAGAAACGCAATAATAAACAATGAGTAAGCCATGACGTCTGTTGGGTGTGCATCATCAGGAGGGCTTGGGTACTCTCTAGCATCCAAGCCTTCCTGTGCAAGGATCGTTAAGATGTTTGCCGAGAGTCGTTGACAAAAACTCTGAATTTCCGGGTCACCTTCAATCTTTGTGCGCAGACTCAGCTTTAGTCGAAGGGCGCTGCTGTAAGTTCAGTGAGAGGAAGGGGTCGCCGCCTTCCGTTCCCAAATTACCCAGGCTATCCGGGCACGAACTCTCTTAGTGGGTACTCTTACCAGCAGACTGGGCTAGATGAATGCTCTCTGCTAGCCGAAAGCTCTCCGCCATAATCATGCGCTCTTTATCCTTGTTCTTGGTCTCATTTAATACAATAGCAACCTTGTCATGTGCATGGGTGCAGGGGCATGATGAAGCTCCAAACCGATGTCGACTTAACTGCCTAGCAAAATCTTCCGTAAGCCTTCCAACCTTGCAGGTTGTCACCTCAAATTTCGCACCTTCTCCTAAATATCCCAAGTCAAGGAGCACAACCGGATAGAGAGCATGGCTTTTATCGCAAGAGTCTAGAATTGCACTTGATTGAAGGCTGTCTCTTGTCCTTCCGCCAGTGTCCACCAAATGAGTCAAGAGATATCCTAGCGCTTCTCCAAACGTGAGAATCACATAATCGTAAAAAAAATCACCATCTCCATCAAAAGCGCAGAATTGCTCAAGTCCTTGCATGAAACTGCGAACTAAGAAATCATGGGCAGCTTGCCACTCTCCCTTCAATGCATTTACCAGTCCCTTGACTCCTTCCACTCGAATCTTTGACTTAATACAGCTTGATCCATACTCCGTTATGTTTAACAACTCTTCGCAAATTCCCAAAGCTTCTGCATAAAGTCCCTCCAAAGCCTTCAAGCCTGCATCTGCAAACCTGGTATCCAGTAAGGCCGCATCCCTCTTATTCTCTGCATCAGTTGGCTGGTGAATCAAGTGCCACCGATGCTCCTCCAGTTGGCTCTGAATTGTTGTCCAGTTCACCTCCCCAGACAAATCCTGTAAATTCGACTGGGACACACCAACCGCTTGCAAAGTAGCAAGTCCCAATTTCTGAATCCAATAAGTTCTCATCAACTTCAGCTTCCTCTTCCCGCTGCCGCTGCCACAGCTTCGCCTTCTTCCGAATGCGACCAGGTTCCGCTCCTCGATCGTTTGTAGGTGGTTTCATAGCTTGTTTGTTCTGGGTCACGTTAGTGTCTATTTTGGAAGAGTGGTGATGGAGGGAGAGTGAGTTCAGTTTGTGATTGCTTGCAACATCACAGTTGGTGTTATCGGCGACGCAAAATTAGAAGGTTTTCCTCCCAGGTCGGTTATTGTTTCGGTGCGACTGAGAGGGTTTGAAGTTTCGACTTCGTGTAGGATCTTTCCAAACTTGAACAGCTGTGGTTTCTTGTGGGTTTTTGGGATTCTTCCGGGTGTGTCTAGGGTTTGAAGTTGCGTGATCAAGCCAGATGAGTGAAGTTTTTTTGTCTAATTGAAAGAAATTGTTCTAGAGTTCGATTTTATCAGTCATGGATTTCTGCGGTATTTTATGACGGTTGGATTGGATCCTCCCCGAAGTGCAGTACCGCTTCAGTGCTACTTTTTAAATTATTTTGAAATTTTGAAATTTGAAATTTTATTTATTTTGTTTATTTTTCCCTTTCAAAATTGTTAGAGATTTTGGTTTATAGCTAAGTAATGGAGCTTTTGTGTGATGATGATGAGTTGTACTGTGAATTATGGCTAGCGGAATTTTTACGTCGATTGTTGTGTCGTTAGGTGAGAATTCTTTGGTTTCTATTGATGCTAAATTTCTACTGTTTTGAATGCTAGATTTGAAAGTATTAGCGCTAATTGATTAATATGCGGAACAGATATCTCTGTGAGAGTTCCCTAGATCGTATCTGTAAGAAGGATTGAGCTTTGGAAAGTGTGTGTCTGACGTACGCTACATCCAAGAAGGCGGTTGATGGCCTTGTTTTTTGGAAATTTTTATAGTGGTGGCATATTCCTTACACTTTTGAACAGAGTAGGTTATCTGTGTTATACGAAGGGAATATTCTTTTACCTGGATTCATAGCAGGGTGGGCCCTACGCATCGAACTCTGTGATCCTATCGCGCAATTTCCTGTGTTCAGTCGCTTGGTGTCTTCTTGGTGAACGGTGCCATACACATCTAATTTGTCTGTAGAAGCAGAGTGTTTCTTCTTCTTATCGTTGCATAAGAAAAACTTCGACTTACGTTTCCTTCTCTTTCAGATATATGTACTTGTCCAAACCCACTTAGGAGAGTTCCTTGTTCACGTGGTTTTGTTTGGCTGTTCAGTTGGGAAGGCTGCTACAAGCAGAAGTCAGAAGAGGACCGGGAGATGGAGGTAAATCCCGTGGCGATGGAGACTGCACAAAGGCGGCTGCGCATTGTGAATGCGCATTTGAGGCTGAAAGCATCGGGTATGCATTCTACTCTACTCAATTTGAGTTTTCTCTGTGACAGCTTGATATATTCATCCTAGGAAGAGTAGAGAGGTGCTCAAGGGAATGAGTAACAGAGGTGATTGCTAGCGATAGACGCTAGATGGTTTGGTTACTCATCTCGGTGAGAATTGAAAAGACACTGTGTTGAGAGCGAGCATAAAGCACTGGAATTCCTTTCCTGTGGTGCGTAATTCCATAGTACAGATAGCGTGCATGCTGCCTCCAAAGTTCCATGCCTTGATGGCCTGGTACTGATCAAGATATGGAGAGATTTTCTTATGTCTAGCTTAATTTGCGAAGAGCATGATCCAGCATTTTCACATAGGGGACTTATGTGTTTCTTGTATCAGTATCTAACATTTTCGGGTGTCTGAAAGTGAAGCTTCTATTTTAGTGGAGGAGGGAAGATTTAGTAACTAGTTCATTTACTGCTGTTGTTGTCTCTATTCATTCTATACCTGAAAGAGTTATACTCCTTGTTACGAATACTAAGTTGTCCAGTTTACTAAGGTGTTGGTTTGAATGTAGCTCGTTTGCAGGGATCTGTGTTCTCTCAGATTAGCGGAGAGGTTGTTAAGCTTTGACTCATTAATGATGCCGCTGCGGTTATCATGAGTTGGGATCTTAAAGGTTTGGTAGCTCATGATTTTCTTTTGTGCAGAGGATCCTTCACAACTGGAGAGCCAACCAAATGCTGGCGAATATATTATTGGTATATAAATTACAGTAGTATCGATGGGTAAGTCATCAATTTTCTCTTTTTGACGCACTTCGCTGGTCCTTGAATTTTTTCATGTTACAGTTATTTAGGCTGTTATGAGGACGATTTACCCCCTTACATCTCAGCTCTGGTTTGCGTTTGCATCTTTGCGCTGGCTCAGATGTTGATTTGGGTTTGGCTAGACTTTCGAGTCTGATTCTGGCTGTCTGATCTGCACTGGACCTCATTTTGCGTCCTTGTTGCCTGTGCTGTGCTCAGAGGAAGGCTACAGCGTTTTGCTGCCAGAGATTGAGCACTGGGAAATGGAACGTTCATAGGTAACTGGTTTTAAACGTGCATCTATTTTTAGCTTTTCAATCTAAACACTTCTGTTCAACTTTATATGCGGTCTTAAAAGTTACATACAATCAGATGATGGGAATCACTTTCACGGGATTTGCTGATATCCGTAGAGAGCTAGGCCGCGTTAACTGTTGATCATAATTCCTTGAATATTTTATCAGTCCATTTCTCTACTTTCTGTACACTATCTGCCTTATATATTCTTTACGCACCATGTTTCACGAGGAGTATAGGTGATAAATTATTGTAATATGCCTACTTGGAGACTCATAACTGCTGATTTAGTTAGACCATTAAAAGACAAACTTTTATTATGATTTGGCTGTGATTGATTTATTTCAGATAAGTGAAGTCCCCGCTTGAACTCATGAGTTATTGGCCTGATCACCCAGAGATCCGAACCTTGCACAACTTTGTGCAAGTCACCTATGATTTTTTGGTTTACTTGATACTCTCTTGATGGGTAGCGAACACATCGATTCTTCATCAGCATCTGAAACTGCTTCAACCATGACTATGATCTGTTGTACAAGTTAAGCAATAAGGACGTTCTATATCATACTTTAAAATCATCGTATTATAATTAGCTCACAGTCCCTTGTTTGTGTGGATTTTTTGAAGGTACGCGAAGGCAGCTTTTGCGGAGAACAAGTGTTTGGGAACTCGTGTTATTGAAGATGGTACAGTTGGCGAGTAAGACACGTTTTCCTTCATTCTTGTGCATAACTATGCCGCCAATTGCTGTTTGTGTGGCGAACTCTTGCATCCGCGGTCTTTATGTCTGCACTTTCTACCTACAGGTATAGGTGGATGCCCTATGGAGAAGTAGGGACCGCACGCACTGCAATTGGATCTGGTCTTGTCCAACATGGCATTCTCAAGGTAAGAACTAGACGAGTCTTGAGAGCACCAGAATGAGCAAGATCTTTACACATTATGATACCTCTGTTGCTGTTACTGTTCGTTGTTTTCTCCTTGGAAGAGTTGTTCCGGCTTAGCACTGTTGTTTTGGGTGATTCGCAGGGTTCATGTGTGGGATTGTACATGATCAATCGAGCGGAATGGATCATCTCAGAACTAGCGTGTGCTGCCTATTCTTATGTGTCTGTTCCACTTTATGATACCCTTGGTAAGTTGCAACGTTTATCAACTTGTGCAGAAAACAACGATTGTCATGCTTGCGTTTGTTTTGTTATGTTAGTTATTAAGCACCTAGTCGGTGGATTTAAATGTAGGATTATCTTAAAAGTTGTGAATCCAAACTCAGAAAGGCAACACGCATTTTGGCAGTAATTGATTGGCGCTACTGTCTTTTTATATGTGACACTGTTGAAAGCGTTCTTTCTCGAGGTAACGGAGGGGATATGCGTGCATGAACTTATAAAACTCGTTTCCAGGGGCTGATGCTGTTACGTATATTGTCAACCATGCGGAGGTTGCTGCTGTGTTTTGTACTCCAGACAAATTGCAGACTGTGAGTTCCTGCTGCGCACTTTTATCTTTCCATTGAAATTTGTGCAACCAGTTGAGAGAATTATACCAGGTCAGCTATTTTGGGAAATTCTGACAATTCTTTTTTGGATGGGTTGGAGCAGCTGCTGAATTGCCTTTCGGAGCTTCCAAGTTTACGACTCATTGTAGTAAGCACTGCTGGAATTCTAGATTTGGCCCTAGAAATCCCTTGTTATTGCTTGCATAGCCGATTGTATTCTAGTTATGTGGTCACTTTAGGCATATTCAAGTATTATGTGGTAGTTCACACCAGTCAGCTTGCAACAAAGAATGTGAGATTAGTGCGGTTCTAATCCGTTAGATAGGCCCTCAGTGTGAGATCATATATTGCTGAGGTCGTGTGTTTAATTTCAATGCTTTGATGCTTTTTTTCTCGGTGGCTCTTGCTTTGCTTTCATTTTGCAATGAATTCAGCATTGATTGTGGTTGTAGGTTGTTGGAGGTGCTGAGCATTTAGTACCATCCCTCCCATCCCAGTCAGGCATTGAGATCGTGCCCCACTCTCGTACCCTAAACCTGATCGTACCCTACAGCAGCATTTTTAGAGGTTGTCCTACATCTTTTGTTTGGAAGCCGCGGGCGGGTATATAACTTTGAACAAGACACCAGCTCCCAAACGTGGCGCGTACTGAGTATAATGAGGTTGCCCTGGCGACCGGGCATTTGGGTGCCTGTGCCGGACTTCATCCACGCGCAGACTGTTGCCGTAAATCTGGTATTAACCTCAAAGCCCCTTTGGTTCCTTAATGGACCTGTTAGGGTCCACGCTATTCTGGCCCGGTCCCCCCCCCCTTTTTTTTTTGTTTTTTTTTTTTTAACCATCACAGAAAATCACATCTGACCAATCAAGAGTAAATAAATGCATTCATCCAGATTTTCTTTAATTTGTTATCGAAAAAGTATTGCATTTTTGAATTTATACCAGGTTTCGGGTTTATTTATAGGATTGTCAAAATTATTTCTTCTCTTTTATTAAATAATCCAATTTCAATGGAAGTCAACCATTTTCACACCCTCTTAAGTAGGGCATCAAAAAAAAACTTGTCTTCCACATAAAAATTAGAGGTTCTGATATTATTTAGTTCATAGTTTATCCATCGCAAGATGTAGTGTATATCTTCTTTTTGACAATTTGGATTTTCATTCTATAACAAATTGAGGTTATGGGTTAGGAAACTCTATGAATAAGGGTTTAGGTTCAGACAGTCCTCTCTGTCATCATTAGAGGCTCCGGAATGTATCCTATGTGTATGTACAGGGTTTCTTTTGCATCAAGTGCAAGATTATTTAAGCATTATTGGATCATTAAATTCATGTGCTTATTTTGTGCTTCAAGTGCATTCAAGGTTGCATAACAACATTTTCCTGCAAGGCCAGGTTTTAGGACACTAATCCTGTAAAAAGATCCAAATTACTTATTTTCTATGTAAGTTGCTTACTCTCTGCGTAAGGTACTTTTCATACTATTCATGTAAGTAGCTGAGCAAGACCAAGGTATATTAAACGTTGGGGTGCAAAAGGAACGATTTCACCAACAACTACAGAGCCCATTACTTTGTATTAGGGTTCACTGGAAACAACGATAGTTAGGGTGGACTAGGATTGATCTCAATGACCTTTTGGTTTAATAGCCTCCATTTCATCCCAATAGATGTTAGGGTTTTCTACAAAACAACGATAATAATGGTGTACTGGGGTTGACCTCATTGACCTTTTGGTTTTATAGCCTCAAGTTCATCCTAAGTAGTCAATAGCACAATAATGGCACCTGATCAATTCGGTTTATATACTTTTAGGACAGCAAGGAAGCAAGCTACAGCGATGTTCAGACCCTATCTACTTTGTTATTTGATTGATTGCGCACCATAGGATTTTTTCAGCATGTGTTTGTTTTTGCGGTCATATGAAGGGCTACAAATTATGTATTGTATTGGTAGCTTTTCATGTCTGGTGATATTTGATATTAAATTGTCTGGGCTTTGGCAGAGGCAAATAGGTCCTAAACAAACTAAGACATCAGCCACATTAGCTTCTAAGGCACACGACACACAAATGCAGGGCCAACACTTTTCAATCTCAAGGACCCGCACAAGGTGCCTATTATTCACTGATTTATATCCCAGAAGTGGTGTTGACATGCATTTTCCATTGTTTTAATCTGATTTGAGGTTTCTGCTCTATTTCAGGCTGATCGAGAAAGCTTAAATTTTCGAAAGTACAAGTTCGAGGATGCTGCAAGGAGGGAACAACCACATGATATTGAGGTAGTGTTTTTCCCATTATTTTTCATGATTTGTGGATATATTACTAACACATGGCTGGCAGGTCACAACAACTTTTAACTTGGGTCTTGCTGGGGCTTCTTCAAGCTCTTGTAAATATGTGCTCAACACTGATCTGATGCAAGTACGTGTTGAAAGTTTAGGGCTTTGGGGCCATATTTTAGGTGTACTTTTAGAATCTGACTTTGACCTTCTTTTGCGCAGACATTCCAACTTGCACGAGCTGTGAAAGAAGGCACTTTGCACAACCTCATCACAGAGCTTCTCATTTGGCTGCTGGACGAGCGGGTCCTGATGACGGATGACGAAAGTCAGCTGGTGATGGCCATGAATGTGCTCATGCTGAAGATACTGGTAAGTCAACTCCCATTTATTAGAAGTGTTTGTAAAGTGAGGCAAAGAGACCCTGAGTTTTGACCTCTTTTCCCATTTTTATTACTAAAATCAGCGTTGACTAGCTCTAAATATCTATAATCAGCTCAAAGAGGAAAAAGGCAACTAAGATTCATGGTACAACATGACCTTTCTTTGTTCCTCCTCAAAGGTGGCTAAAACTAGTTCTAACTTGAGTTTCAGAGACCACCAAGCTCTTCGCTACTTAATAGTTTAGACACTACCAAGCTTTTCTACTGATTTAATAGAGTGAGGAAAGAGTAGTATTAAAATCAAAAGAAGGGGGTATCTTATCGAAACTTTGGGTGACTTTACAGATATCTCAATTGCCTGGTTTTTGAAACTTGAATTTTCCTAGGAGAATTCGATGAACTTACCTGATTTTTTTTTCAGGAAAATGCGGATCGCACATCGGCTTTCATAGTCTTGATCTACCTGAGGCGTCCTTTGGGTTTATCCAAGTTTGCTGCTCGTCAACAACAGGGAATAACCAACGTCAGAAAGCAGAAATTCTTGGATCTTCTTGTGAAGTGCCTCATCAAGCTCCCAAGGTACTGGTCTTGCATGTGTTGAAGCTAAACTTTCACTACTAAACGTAGAGACCTTGGACCTGATAAAAAATTCTCGGTGGCAGGTTCTTGGCCCCACTTTGCTTGAAGTAGACCTTGATCGAATTCTCCAAAGCATTCATGACTATTTTGAGGAGCTGGGAATGGCAGAAATAAGAAAAAGGTACCAGTTCACACACTTTTCTGATTGTGGTGAATGTTTTTGGAGATTTCACCTGATTTTGAAATACCTCAGTCCGGTGCTTTTCATCATGCTCTGATGGAAATTTGTTGCCACTAGGCGGGTGCTGATGGTAAGCCTTTGCGCATGGTGAAGACACTTTTACATGAGCTAGTGAAACTCCGTGGCACTGCAATCAAAGGTCACCTTTCGTTGGTGCCCATTGATGTGGAGCCCCAACCTATCTTTCTGGCTTATTAAGACCCCAACCTCTAGGTGACTTTTTAAGACCGAAAATTCTAACTCTGTAATTTAGAGGTATATCCTACCTGTGATGTTTGGGGTTTTGTCTTCTTAGAGCTTTTGATCCTTATCTGTGTGAAATCTTGTAGATCTTGGGAACATCGGGACAAACGCAATGCTCTCCAAGTAATAGAAGCACGTCACCGTCGAATCAATCTACCGAGGCACAGCTGAAAGTAAGTTTTACATCTTACGTCTACATGGGATACATTGATACCTATTACATCAACAGGATCTATGATGGTGATTTATAATATATATTGATAATTAAGATGCAACTTCTGACTTTTCTCTTAGTTTTAATAATCTTGTATAAGAAATTTTGTTCAAAAACAGGGATTCTTATACTCATGTGTTTGTCGGTTATGCAGCAAGAGCTTGCTGCAGTGTTCAAGAAAATTGGTGACAAGCAGACATGCACAATTGGACTTTATGGGTCTACCGCATCACACAGCTATATCCACAGGTGCGAAACCGTCACTTGTTTCTACAAAATTCGTCAATAAAATATGGTTTTTTGTTTCGTATGTTTATATTCATATCCTTCTGATTTGTGATGTTTTTGTCCTGGTTTATTATTTAGTGCTGATCTGATCAAAACAATGACAGTGATCAAGCGCAAGCCATGAGTCGCTTCTTCCTCTCAATGTTTCTTTCTGAAGAAGCTCATTGATTCTCGTCCACGGATTTCATCTCATCTCATGAAGGGTAGTATTCACCAATCTTGAAAACTCATCTTGCTCAAACCAGTCCGGTTAATAAAATGTGAGTTCAAAAGTACCAACAACTCGAGCCTACCTCAACCTCAAGGTTTGTTGATGTATTTTTCGGCATAGTCCAAATTCCACCTGTTGCGATGTTCCAACGACACGACTAATATGTTATACAATTGTCCTCTAGACTAAGAGTCTCCTACATCTTTAGATTCTTGCTACATTGTGTATATCTCGGCTTTCATCCTCTAAGCATTGCTCTCGGTGCTTCCTGATTGCAGCGAAACACTATAAACATGCAGATCCCTATTAGGTTTGGAAACATTATCGGGTCTGACATATGTGAAATACGAAAAGACGTTCAGATGTTAAAAGATCCAAACAATGAGACACTTCTCCGCTCCAACTGCAAAAACAACTATATATGACGGATAAAATGCCTTTCTGGATTGTCACAATGGTGCACGGATTTAGATCCATCCTAACGCTTGGGTTTAGGCACATGCTCGGTTATAGGCTTATCTACCTTATTTGGTCCGGTCCTTTAATTTCTTTCTTTGACAACATTTTTGGAGGTTGTCCCATATCTTTTGTCTAGAAGTCGCGGGCGGGTATATAAATTTGAACAAGACCGCTCCTCTAGAATGCGGCGTGTACTGAGAACGATGAGAGTACCAAAGCGATCAGATACGTGTTTGCCTGTAATTTCTAACAGCTTCAGTTTTGTTGCCTTGGCCGTCTGGTGTCCTATATCATCTCTAAACATTTGCCCGTCTGGCCCAGTATTCCATTTTTTGATGTATACCAGGTTTTAGGATAATTTTTAGGATTGTCAAAATTATTTCTTCTCTTTTATCAAAAATCCAATTTCAATGGAATTCATGCATTTTCACACCCTCTTAAGCAGGGCATCAAAAAAAAATGATTGTTTTCGACATAAAAATTAGAGGTTCTGATATTTTTTGGTTCACAGTTTATCTATCTTAAGCAGGGCATCATAAAAAACTTGTTTTCGACATAAAAATTAGAGGTTCTGATATTTTTTGGTTCACAGTTTATCTATCTTAAGCAGGGCATCATAAAAAACTTGTTTTCGACATAAAAATTAGAGGTTCTGATATTTTTTGGTTCACAGTTTATCTATCTTAAGCAGAGTGTATATCTTCTTTTTGTGAACAGAACATGGTTGTGTAGTAAGAAGATTCAGTAGTTTCCTTTAGTTATGCAACCAATTCCAATTATACTTACATGAAAATTAGATTTGGCATGCTTCCCAGCTCGGGCACAGTTTGTGTCATTGAACTACTCCGCAAAATCCTGAAATAGATTGGTTGGATCAAACCAGGGACGTCAGACTCAGTTACCTCTAAAGGACCAAGGCTATATTTTCAAAAAACACACAGGAAAACAACTGTTCTTAAGGTCACTATAAAAGATTCAAACATTTTTTGTGATTTTTAACTTCTAACCGTAAGATCTTGTTAGATACTACTAGAATAACTTGCCAAAGTTTTTAGATAATTTTTGACCACACGGATTGGAAGATTATAGCATTTAAACCAAGCTCAATAGTCTTTTTGCACTGTGATTTTACTAGGGCAGCACACTATATTTTGATAAAATTAATTTTTTACATTATGCATAGTTGCCACTCTTTACCACTGCAATCTACATGATATAAGGTACATGTCCAAAAACTTTTAGGTGCAATCGAGGTGTCCTGCACCTTTAAAACAACCCTGCAACAGCAAGGGGCCTAAAATCAAACAAAACACATTTTATTTTTTTTGTGCTTTCAATTTTACATAAAATCTTAATCCAAACGGTGAACATAAAGGTCATTATCTTATCTTGAATTGAAAAAAAAGAACAAAAAAAAAGGAGCAAAATCTCAAAGTGTTGTGTTCATAAATGTGGAAGGAAGAAAGTTTTTTTGGAAAGGTGCCCAGAAACTTTGATTCCTCTTGGAGTGAAAAAATTTGTACTATAGAAAGTTTTTTCATTGGAAAATCTCAAAGAAGATTATGTTCGCTAATTGTATACAAAATTTCAAAATTAATGGAGGAGTTTTGCAAACTGCCCGAATTGCACGCCAACGAGCAAAAACTGCTTTGGGGAGCATAACTTTTTCAATATATGTCCGATTCATGAAAAAGTTACACTTCCACAAAGCTCTTGCATTACGCCTTCTTCAGTAAAAATCTTTAAAAAATTTATTGAAAATTGACATCATAGGAACCTGCCCGAACTCTCAAAAAGCCCATGTGGGGACAATGGTCCTTTAGGGGTTAAAATCCACCTGTCAGAGATAAAAAGCATTCAGATCAAAAGTACAGGGCGGAACTGAATTGATTGGAAAACTTAGAGCTTCAAGAGTGGAGGGATACCAGCCCATGACAGGGGTAATGAGCTACCAAAAGGTAGTTATCCAATTGACTGCAAAGATGGTTAGTCCAGGGATATCTGCCAGCGCTACTGGAAGAGGGCCACTGATTTGGTTGTGATCCAGGATCAGATGATGGAGGCTTCTACATCTGCTCAGGTCTACAGGAATGGTGCCATTCAAGGTGTTCTTATTCATATGTCTGCATCGAAATCAGAGAGAACAATCAGATGCTTCGTGAATCAACGTTTCGTCTGAGCTCCATGCCAAGTCTAAAAACTCCAACTATGTATGAACATTTCAAGGGCCTATTTGACGATCAAGTTTAAGATTATTTAAGCATTATTGGATCATTAAATTCATGTGCTTATTTTGTGCTTTCAAGTGCATTCAAGGTAGAATAACAACATTTTCCTGCAAGGCCAGGTTTTAGGACTCATCCTCTAAAAAGATCCAAATTACTTATTTTCTGTGTAAGTTGCCTACTTTCTGCATAAGTTACTTTTCGTACTATTCATAAAAGTAGCTGAGCAAGACCAAGGTATATTAAACATTAGGGGTGCAAACGATTTCACCAACAACTTCAGAGCCCATTACTTTATATTAGGGTTCACTGGAAACAATGATAGTAAAGGTGAACTGGGGTTGATCTCATTGATCTTTTGGTTTTATAGCCTCCATTTCATCCCAATAGATGTTAGGATTCACTAAAAAACAAAGACAATAATGGTGTACTGGGGTTGATCTCATTGACCTTTTGGTTTTATAGCCTCAAGTTCATCCTAAGTAGTCAATATCACAATAATTGCACATGATAAATTCGGTTCATATACTTTTAGGACAGCAAGGAAGCAAGCTAAAACGATGTTCAGATCCTATCTACTCTGTTATTTGATTGATTGCCCAACATAGGAGTTTTTTTAGCATGTGTTTGTTTTTGCTGTCATACGAAGGGCCCCTCATGGATATGGATTGTTTATGTCTTTATTAGATTTTGCAGTAGATAAGTGTGGTCGGTATGCAACCTCTCATAGACGTGATTTTGCAGCTTCTGTTATTCGTTCGGAAGGTTTCGTCTACTTCCGATATTATTTGCCAGATTGCAAGTTGCATCAAGTTGCTTAATTTTAGAAATACCAATGCTTGTGTTCAAGTTAACTGTTTTGTGATTGAACTTATCCAGTCTCTGATCTAGATTTTTCATTTGTACATGGTTTATGAATTTGTTGGTGTCTTATGTAGGGTTTAGTTGCTGTAAACAAAAGGGTGAACGTCAAGTCGTATACTTCTCCGCACAAACTTGTTGATGACATGTTTTCACTCTTACTCGTTCAGGCTGGAAAGGTTGGCAACGGAGAACCAGGTGCTGCAAGAGTGACGAGTCCAGAGGAAGCAGATGAAGCTAAGCGGAAAGAGAAACTTAAACGAGGACGAGAGGTAATAAACGTGTGAAGCAACAATAATTGGAGAATTGAACGATCGGTCTAGATTGTCAGCTTCTTGTAGAGAGTGATAAATTGATGAACTCTTGGATTGAATTCTTGCATGAATTTTCAATATTCCAGCTGCTCATTGTTTTGCTAGATGCCTAAGATGCAATATGCCTGCTCATCGTTCACTAATATTGAGGAATCAAATAATTAGGTACAACAAAAAATTAGGTACAACATCAATTGTTATGAAAAATTAAGGATTCTTGCTTACTCTCAATCAGAATCTAAGACCAGACAGAGATTCACTGAGGTTAGGAGTACAACAAGAGGAGTCCAGGAATTTCTATGGGGATTCATCGACCTGATATCGAAGTTCAGATGGTTCACGGGTGTCTGAAATCGGAATGTACTGCAATACACGCAACTCCGACCACCTGAAGCAGCTAGATTTTGGATTGCTCGCGCACACACACACACACACAGCAACCAGTGGACGAGAGTACCAATTATGCATGAGAAAGAAATTTCAAATTACGCGCTTAGCAGTCACTGGTAGAGAGCCCTGCATCGTCACACGCGCTCATCTTATCTTGTGACAATCGGTGTTCATATCGCTAAGTGCTGGCTATTATATGTAATCCTCGATGAAAGCTTGTGTTCATGAGTTACAAATAGAGAGTAGTATTCGGTTTGAGTTGGAAACAATTAGTTGCGTAAGAGGACCAATAATGATGATACACATACCATGCTGGAAATGCTGCAGCATGTAAAACAGGCTTTACAACATAGATGCACCTACTCTATTCGACTAAATGAATGTTGACTGCTGTTTCTGGATACTCCATGAACTCTTCCAAAGTTTCTTCTAATTTAGAAGAGCTGTTGGGATCTGGAGGGCGGCATAAGACCACCTACTTCCAAAGCACGACATAGCGTCTGTTCTAGCTCATGATTGCTCCTCCGCACATTCCTTGAAGTCTGAAAACAAAACATTTACAGACGCATCTGTGAGCACTAATTCCGTCGCCTTTCAAAGTTAGTGCATGAGATTTGGCTCTTTACACACAGTTCACAACCCAATTATTATTTTTTCACTCTTTATTTCTTTTGTCTCATAGTTGCAATACCTTCTGTATTATTAATATACTTGATTGTAATTAAATGAAACAACCATATTACCTTCACGCGAACGGTGGCACGGAATCGCTCGTTTTTGCAACCATAATCCATCGCGACAACCACGACGTCCAAATCCTGCAACACATTCAGTAACTTGGGCAGCGATCGCGCATGGTAATTAGCCTCCACTCTAAGGTTCAGAGTTTCTCCTCCCTCTGTACCTTCCACCACCACATGCGTAGTTGCAGGAGAAGATGATGGGCCAGCAGGATTTTCAATGTAATGCAAACCCAGGTCCTGTTCCCCTGATACGTTAACTCCCCCCCTGGCAAACAATGTTGCAGAATTCTCCATGTCTAAAAACCCAGGTGCAGCTTCTTCAAGCTCCTTTTTCAAGCTCGAGATTCGAGATTCCAATTGCCGGATGTACTCAATGGCGCTATAGATCACCGCTACCTTATCCTTCTGCAAAAGTTCATAAGATGCCGCCAAAACATGTTCAACAAGTGATGCTAAGGGCGAGTAAAAGTGGAACGATCGCTATACGATCCTCTCCGCAATGGAGAATTTTCTAGTTGCTCAGGCTAAAAGAGTTTTTCGAATTAAAATAATGATCGAGAGCCAAAAACTTGAAAAGACAAAACAGAGGTACAGGTGAAACGTCGTATTGCTACCCTAGCACTGTAAATAACTTATTAAATATAGTCAAGTGATATCAAGGCATGCAGTCAAAATGATGACAATGTTCTTGAGGAGCAGCTTTTTAAAGTGAGGGGAATATGATCCAAAAATCAGATATACTTCTCCTCAGAACACATAATGAGCCCATGTGAGTATGGACAGAACTTGACACTGCGTGAAGGAATGCATATAAATAGCAGAATTTAGCTGCCCCTGCTTCAGTGCAACTTGGTATGTCCGATGCTTGTCAGTAACTGCCACGAACTTTCTGGTATCTAAATTTGAATAGTATCAACAGGCACGAAATTACCTTGGTGATAGTTGGTACAATTTTCTTCAAGCTCTCCAGGCTGCGTTTGAACTTGTTTCTTCTCTGCTGCTCTGCCTTTTTGCGCACCAAAGCTTGTCTGAAGTCATGAGCCGCGCTAATTGAGGTTGAGAAATCATAACTAGTTCCAACTCTGACATTGCAATTGCCCAATCCAACTGCTGATTGATCTGAAGAAGAAGGCTGCAGCACTTGCAGAGACTTCAACTTCGGCCCAAATTTTTCCACCCAGTAATGAATCATAGGCTTCCTATTGGAAGACATACTGTGTTGAGAGAGCCTCGTGGACTGTGCGGGTGCATAGACTTGAAAGGCAGACCGAGAACTACGCCTGCCTGGCACTTGCTCGGTTGAAGCCGGGGTACCGTGCATGCAGCTTAAACTGGGAGAGATGGTTTGGTTGTTGAGATTCGGTAAACTGGATGCTACAAGAGGAGAAGCATGCAAATCCCCTCCAGGTATATTCGCCACGATATTCTGATTACAGCCAAACGCTATCTTGTCTAATCCATCGTCGATCTGTACCGACAACAAACTCATCGGAGCAGACTGCTTTGTCAAGTCAATAGTTTCTGCTTCTAATAATTCATCGCCTCTTTGTAACCCTTCCTGGATAATCTCCCAGGGGAATTGCGTCGTAATTGGTAGCGGCAGCTGTTTTGAACTCCATTCATGAATGATTCTTTTTTCCAATTCCTCAAGGCCCTGGCCCGGTCCAGCCTCCTCTACGTGACGAAATTGTTCGAGATATTGTTCCAATTCTATAAAGATATTGAGCTTCTCTGGCATGTCCTGGAATCCAGTATGCGCACACGGTGGTTGCGCAGACGAGTTCATACTTCCTGTCAAGGTCCAAGGATGGTAAGGTTCCTCCGACCTCACTATTTTGCCATACCCTACTGTGTCGGACGCTGCATCTTCTCCGATCGAGGCACTCGTCGTTATCCCACTCAAAAGTGCGAAGTTCTGACGATTTTCTTCGGCGGACATGGCAGGTGCTGCTGCTGCTGGAAAATTCCCCAATAGCCCAGCCAAATTGCCTGTCATCGCTGAGAAGTACGAGTCCTGATCTACAACCTCCATCCCAGTTTTTACAAATTCCTGCAGCAACCCAGTAGCAGTTGAAGGCGGTGCTAAATCGTAGGTGTGAGGGATGTTCGATTCGTCGATATAATATTGCATCATCTTGCTAATGTGCTCGATCTCCGAATCCTAGTGTAAAACTCCACGAGTTCAGCTGTGCAAAAGGTTTAGCATATCACTTCAAGCTCCAAAATTTCAGCTGACCGGAACCTCCAAGGCTCAAATTCAAACTGATTGGCATAGTCCACGACATTGTACCTTGGTCATTTCGTGCGTCCAAATTAATAAATCATAGATTCCCTTGAATCAAATGATTTTGACGTCCCAAACGTTCACTATCATAACTGTTGACTAGGGTTGATCGATCTCTACACGACAGACTGCAGCTGAAATATTGCTCTTGTATACAACTACTCAAAATGCATCCAAGTTTTAAAGAGGTTCATGGGTCTTATATACGAAGCGTCCCTGAGCAGACGAGTTAGCCTAAAATCAGAGCATAGTCCAAGGCCAGCTAGTGTGTGCATAACTGTCATAAGAGGTTGTGCAGATCATCCAGCTCTGGAGCTATTCCCAGTCAACTCGCTTTCACCAAATAATCGTTGTGATCCGAGGTGTCGGCATTAGCTGGATTTGGACTCGACGATGTGGGCCTCGGTCCAACGCGGGCAAAACGTTACTTCTTCCTCCGGATGAGGTGAAAACTGTGCCCCCTCAAGAGTGTTATAGAGTTCGCAAATTCCCAAGCATCGGCTTCTGGCGAGATGCTTCGCTGTCATAGAAGTCATTTCATCTCTTCCACCTGAGGATAGAAAGTTTCAAAACAACGTCCCAACTGAACGCTGTTTGGCTGCGTGGGTCAGCATCCTTGCTGTTACACCGCACTAGCTCAGGAAAGTATCTCTTGTCTCAGGTTCCTTTTCAAACTACTGCTCTCATCACTGCAAAGCTGGGCAATAGGCACAGAGTTATCGTAGAACAGGAATTTCTGGCTATCACCGAGACCAAAACCCCACCTGCAGGTCGCGACTGTTCACCCTGGACCCACTGCCAACGACACTGCATCTAATAAACAACTGCGAAATTGGTAAGACTCTCCCGGTTCTCCTCATACGACGTCACCTTCTGCATAGTCCGTAGACCTGATTGGAATAACTTATATTCCGACTTGATTTGAATACTACTTCAAGGACTTGAGAAGCTATTCGTTGCAGACATCCTTAAACTGCACGGAGTTCGTAAAACTACACGCTCTTCCAATGCAAGTACACAGTACAGGGACGTTGTTCATAAATTTGGGGGAGTCTGAGCTACAAATGGAGCACTAGCTTCACAGAAGTTGTGGCCAGAGTGACGAAGATGCCACCCTCATTACATGAAGCGGGGCCTGCAAGACACGTCATGATCTGCAGAATCACCAATCTAGTGCTCCCTGAGACATTAAAAATCATGTAACTATACTTATGTTATGCGCAAACCTTCACAGACTTGGCGAGGCTGTCGAATGAGTTGTGGTCCGTTGACAGAGGACCCAGATGCGCACAAGTGTAAGGCTGACCGTGGAAGCCATTTTGGTGTATTGCTTTCATAGCATCAATAAATCATTTATTATTTGACAACAATTCATGAAGTTTGCATGGCTTTGTGAAACTGTTTGCAGCCAACAGAAATATATACGAGATTAGCAATGTTTCTACTAGTATTTGTAGATAACATGTTTGCTTTTCAATAAGAAATAGTTGGAATGTTTCTTTAAAACAAAGTATCATTATCATTGAGTAATTGATTGATATGTTACAATCTAGCATGATATATTTTTGCTTGGGTATACCAAAGTGTGTTTTGGAATATTATATGGAAGTAGTTAAAGTCACACCCTATATTACCATCTCATGATTGATTCCATCCATCCCCATTTCCATCTTTTGTTCCATGTCCCCAATCCTTCATTCCCAACCCCCATGCCTAATATCCTATCCCCATCTCTTATTTCTTCTCTTCCAAAATTAACCATCACATGGTTTGGAGATTTGGCTTTCACAACTCCCTATTATATATATATATATATATATATATATATATATAGTTCATGTATATAATTTTGTTTGATTAGCTTAAAATAAGAGATAGTATTTGATATCATAATTAGCAAATGATTATCAAATACCAAAATTTTCAATTTAAATAGCATCCCACACAATCTTGGATTGCTATTATTTTTTCTAAGTAGGATATGAATTTATTTTATCAAAAAAAAATTGTGATATCTTTATTTATAAATTTTATAGAAAAACTTGTAAATTATATATATATATATATATATATATATATATATATAAAATATTATGTATTCAATAAAATGCATGTTTATATAGTACTAGAATATATTTCATACATACTCTATAAAATTCTTGATAAATTCTAGTACTATACAAAAATGTATTTTTAGTCAGTTTTTGTAGATTTAAATCATCAAAAATAGCAATAACAAGCAAGAAATAATTATTCAGATGTATAATTTCAAGTATTTACCTTCAAACTGAATTTTGTGGAGAAAAAATGAATGAATTAAAATAATTGCATCTTTTTACGTTAAATATTATTAAATCAATAAATACCCTAAATCTATTTTTTTTTATTTAAAACTACATTTGAACAACTTATTTTAAATGCTACTTATAAATTGAAAATTCTAAGTTTTTTAAAACATAAAAATACATGTATTACAAATTAGTATTACAATGTATATTTAAACAAATCGTAAGATATTAAACAAACATATTTTCATCCCAGTGGTCCAACACTTTATCCAATGGATGAAAGTGGGGTCCATTTGCATGAGAAGTAAATAAATTGGAACATAGGGAATAGTGGATGAAATTTTGGTCGATTTCATTCATCGCTAAGGAGTTGACTATTTCGAGCTGACTTGGACTTTCAAGCCTCAACTCTTAGGGCCACTAAAACCCAAAATCCTCAACCCTATTCACACCTCTTCGGAAGACAACAAGGGCTACGTAATATTCCTGTTTATACAGTATTGGCTGTGTACCAAAGCAACAGTATTTGTATTTGTGCACGTTTTTGTCATTTCTGATACAGCAAAGTTAGCAAATTCTTCTGTTGAAATTCTCCTCATTCACACATTATAATTTTTCCAAAAGTAATTAAAACAGGATCAGTATACAATTTTATGTAAATGAAAATATGGTTAGTATGGGGTTTCATTGAACATTGATTCCTTTATATTGTAACAATGATTTTTCATATCAATATACAATCTGATCAATCCGTGATGGCATAAAAGCAGAAGTTGTGGATTCTTACACAGTAATTTTAAGATTTTATCTTTGACTTGAATTCTAAAAACTTGTTCATTAATTTGTGTTCAGACCACTGCTAAAACATTCAATCATTGTGACTTCTTTAAAAGCAGGGTTTAAGGTTTAGGGTTAAAAAATTTAAAAATTATACATTTTATAATCCTTAAAAAATTAATTAATATTTACTTAAGTTAACATCAATATTTTAATTCTATTCAGTACTGTATTTTGAATCTTTTATACCATTTAAATATAATGAGATTGGATTTTACATATTAATTCAATTCTTTAAAGAATTTAGAATTTGCACTGTTTGAATATTCTTAAGATAAATAACATTTTTAATACAATTAAATAAGAACCACCCTAAGGTTATGTTCATGAGCCATGAAAAATGATAGACATCTAAGTTTTTCCTAAATAATAGTCATAAAAATGTATTGCAGCACTACATTTTTTCATACTCAATTTTTAAAAATTAACATAAAAATAAAAATTAATAAACTATCTGGAAATATTAACAAACAAAAGGAAAAAAGGGGGGAATAGGGAAAAAAAAAAAAAAAAAAAAAAAAAAAAAAACTCTATGACAAAAATATATATATATCATGAATATTTTTTGATAAATTGAATCTCATAGCACCCTTGTATCTTTCCAAGTTACTCAGTAACACGATTGTCTCCATCTACAAATAGACACCATAACAGAAGAAATTTGAGGTAAAGAAGAAGTGAAGATTGGTGAAAAATAATTTGCAAGGACCACAAAAGATTGTTAGAGTTACGTCATCTCTTCTTCTTCTTCTTCTTCTTCTTCTTCTTTCTATTTATTCATTACTTATTTATTATTTCTATGATATTTGAGGAAAATGGTGTCATATTTAAAATGTCCAAACCCCCAATAAGATCAAAGGGTTCTTCCACATAAAATGTAACAAGGAAAATATCAGACGTTCTCCATTCATACTCGTCCAATATATTTATTCTCTTATGGATGGAAGTGGGGTTCATTCATGCAAGTCATACAGAGAACGTAGAATAGAAAGTAGCAAGAGTGGATGGTTCGGTAGACGACTCTGTTCATCTTTGCTGCGTTGACGACTTTAGGGCTGACGTGGACTTGCAAGTTTCAACTGAATGCGCAACAGAACTGGAACTCCGTTTGTACCTTACCATAAGACCGCACACCACTCATAATGTCTCCGTTCACACAGCATCAACTGTGCAACAAATTGACAGTGTCTTTAGTTTTAGCACGTTTATGTCATTGCCAAGACTCATGTATGAAAAATACCATATATATATATATATATATATACACACACATGTATACTGAACATAATTTATCTTAAAAGTTGAAAAGAGTCATTTTTTATTCAATGATTTTAAAAGCATATTTGGATGAAGAGTTTGAATAAACACATATTATTGCCTTTTGTACACCACTATCAAAACATATAATCATAGTAAGTTCTCCTGATGTGCATTTAATACTGAAAAATACGAGAAATTTTGAAGTGAATAAATTTCTTTCTTCAATGTTTGTTGAAGATTAAGCCAACTGAGTTTTACCATACCTATTTATAAATTCCATTGGAAGAAAAAATCATACTGCTAAATTTATATGATTTTTAATCTTGCAAAATAAAGACACAACTCTTTTATTTAAAAAAAAACCCAGTTTCAGAACGTTTAGATTTTTCATGACAATTTTTCAAAAGCCACCCAAAATTTTAGGTGTATCATTGCTAAAAACTAACATCCTACTATGTTAAATATATACACCCAATTATTTTTTTGACTTTCTCAAAATAAAGAAAAGCTTCATTCAGCTAAATGCGGCTGAAAAACTAGCAATAGTGATGTCCTTTTATAAGCATCTTGGTGTGATAAGTCTTGATGAGATTTTTTTAATATAATTGCTTGTAGTTTTAAATATAATTGAAACTCCAGCAGGCAACAATAAAGTTGCAACACCTCTAACTATAACTGTTGTAAATTTAAGATTTCAACATTTTAGCCTATATAACTTTTTGACCCACCAATCAATAGATTGCAATGTTTCGCTCTAGATAATTATTATCAATAGGAAACTTTCTAGACGTTGATAATAATTCAAATTAGAGATCAAAATAATATTTGAGGCA